TAGAATTTTTTTAAATTGCCTCCCTCGTATTCGGGCTTTATTTATAATTTTTTGACGCTGTTGTGTAACAAACTTGATATGTGAACACGTGATATGTGTTACCGTTAGGGTTAGGGTTAGAGTGGAGGACTAAAGTATATGTTCCAAGTTAGAATTAAGTTATTTTAATTTTATATTGCGGATCAAATTCCAAACCAACACAGATTCTATTCCGACTTGCAACATAGATAAAGATACTCAAGAAAATTTACGTGTATTAATTACATTGTTCAATTCACTTGCAATGAATACGAAAGCGGTTCTAGAAAATACGCAAAAAAATGATTATATTTTCTTGGAAATCATGGCGCTGCGCAGTGAATGATGTAATATCGATATCGATATGCGTTAATAATCCATTCCGATTCTAGTAGATTCTATTCTAAATTTACATTTATGTAACACAAAACGACTGGAAACAATATTCGAAACAGAATGTCACATCGAAAAGATAACAGTCATCCTAAGAAGATTACTCCAAAGCGGTTGGTCAGTAGGCGGTATCTTTTCATTTCCTCTCGTACAATGTCAACTAAATTGTTGAAAAAGAAGGTGAATTACAAAAAAAATCAGCAAACCCCTCAATGACAACTGAAATGAACACTATTTTCAGAAGAAACCACTTTTGAATTATTTCTAAACACTTTAGGAAGTGTAAAAGACCAGTTCGATGTATCTCAAAAGATAGGAAAAAGATTTTGGTATGGCGAATTTTGTGTGACAGCAAGAAAGTCTTATCAAATCATGACAGATGCTTTTTACATTGACAATGATCCCAAGCATAAGTCCAAAATAATATGCCTGAAGTTTGGAGTTAGACTATCCCAGATTCAAAATGGGATATCGATCACCGTATCGATATATCGATTTTTTTTTGCCACGGAAAAGGGGTTAAACAGCGCTCATTACCGTTACGGGTTATTTTATATACCGAAATTTATCGGATCTTCTGTTAAACCGGACAAATTCTTTATGGAAAATACGAGTGCTCTAAAAATAAATTTAAATCTTTTTAACACGACGTGGATTTTTTCTATACGTTTTTCCATAGCTACACTCACTATCGAGTATTCAATTTAATTTATTTCTTGAGTAAAAATGGCCGGAAGCACATTATGGAGAAACACCGTATGGACCTTATTCGGCTTACGTGACTACACAAAAAGTGGTTACGAACGCAATTCTAAAAAATTCAATAAGAACGCGTTAAACGCTGACCTAACGGAGAAAGTTGCCATAGTAACGGGCGCTAACTCCGGTCTCGGAAAATATGTAGCCACCGAATTGTATAGAAGAAACGCTACTGTTTATATGCTCTGTCGTGATATTACTCGAGGTGAACAAGCGAGAAAAGACATAATCAAAGAAGTCGAAGAAATTAAAGTTGAAGGCCTTGATTCCAAGGTTAAAGTTAATGAAACGTCGTTGAAGTTGCGTAAAGTCGATATTTCTGATTTGAAGAATGTTCGAGAGTTTGTGGAAAGTTTGAAGAATGAGAATGACGGAAAATGTCATATTTTGGTGATTATTTTTTTCTTTTTTTTTAAAAAAAAGTTTGAATTTCTATCAACCTTTTCAAAAAGGTTAATAATGCAGGGGTAATGAACCAAAAACGTGAATTCACATCTTATGACGTTGAAACAAATTTTGCTTGCAACACACTGGGTACATATTATCTCACAAAATTAATGTTTCCATTAATGCAAAAAACTGGACCTGGAGCGAGAATCGTAAGTTATCGCTTTTTGTTAATAATTCAATTTGCATAGCGAAGCGAAGCAACAATCTGATTTCATTAATCTAGATCATAGTCTCTTCCGGAGGAATGTATACAAACAAACTAGACGTCGAAGACTTGCAATTCGAAAAACTAAACCCATTCGATGGCACAACGGCTTACGCTCAAAACAAACGACAACAAGTAGAACTGACCGAATACTGGTCAAAGAAATATCCCGAACCCGAGACTGGCGTGAAATTCGTCGCTTTGCATCCCGGATGGAGTGATACTCCTGGTGTAAGCACTTCAATGGAAACTTTCTATAGACATGCGAAATCTTACCTACGCTCTATTCCTCAGGGCTGTGATACGATTTTATGGTCTGCATTCTCCGAAGAAGCGGAAAAAGTTCCGAGCGGATCTTTTATTTTTGATCGTGAAGTTGTCCCGACGCATTTGCCTCTTGCAAAGACAAGGTCGAAACCAGTAGATGTTGAAAAGTTAGTAAATGAAATTGAAAAGTATATTACTATTGGATTGGAGGAACCATCCGCTGAAGAAAATTTTGCGAGCATTTCCTCATAAATATAAATTATTTACCATGATTTGGTCAATCATATTAATATTTGTAAATTTAATTTATTATTCTTTAATTCGGGCCAAACTTTAAATTCCGAAACACAATGAATAAAATCAACCTCAATAACGCTAAAAATTAAACTTTTACCACATACAAACCTTGCCTTATTTAGTCTTCGTATCAGATCTTACAATTTTCTTCGCGAGCAATATGAAGTGTTACTTTAGAACACATCATCTTGATTTTCAGTGATCCGTTACTATAAATATATACAACCATTAGTCGAGACGAGGCGAATCGTAGTATTTTCGCACGAATCGGATCGCTGGATGTCGATTTTAAGGTTCATTAAAATTATCGATATCAAGATATCTAAATGTTTTTATTATGAAGTACAGTCGTTCCTCTCTATAGTCACACCCGGTGATAGTGTCTATAGTGAGGTGTGCTTATATAAGGGGTTCTTATTTAATTGTCACATATTGAGCGGCCCAGACTTTAAGAGAATGATTGTACGGGAGGTGACAATAGAGAGTTTGTAAAGAAATTTATCAAGTTCTAAGGAATTTTTAAGTTAATTAAAAAGCTATCCGTATACACAGTGAAACTCGATAAGATAAAGTCATTATAAGATATAGTGGGTCTAAGTTAATTTTTTTGTCCTCAAATATAATTAAATTTACCACCTCAATAAGTAAAAAAAAATAACCAACCTGGAGACTTTATCTTAGAGTTTCACTGTGTATGCACATTTTTAAAAATTACTAAGATTGGTCAAAAATATTGTGTTGCCAATGAAAATGGCTATGTTCATAATTTTTATTGAGAAATTATTTTGCTCACCACAGAATATCAGATGACGGATGTACGTATATTGATCACACTAGATCGGTCATGTATCTAAAAAAAACGCGAGCATTTTATGGGTTGGTAGATCTTCTATATCGGGTATTGTATTCATGAACTTTCATGCCCAAATACAATAATCGATCAATTTTTCATTATAAATTGATCGCCAGAAAAATGAATTCATTTTTGTTAATGTTAAAAAAACAAATCTGCTACTTTAGGACGCAATATTTCGACGTCCAGTGATCCGATTTGAAAAAAAATATTACCATTCGATTCACCTCGACTAGGCGAATTGAATGGTATATTTTTATTCAAATCGGATCACTAGATGTCAAGAGTTAGATTATTTAATATTAAGATGTGTGTTATGAAATAACTGATTATACATGTATTTGGGACATGAAAGTTTATGAACAATACCCGATATAGAAGCTCTACCAATCTATGATCAGCATTTGTAATGTTCTTTATGCTCAGAAAATTTCAGAACATTACACATGATCTATGGAAAGTAGCTCGCCAGCTTTCAGTTTGTTTGCTGATTTTTTCATTACTTTTCATATATAAGCCACATGGCTGAGCGGAGCCACCCACAGTAACCAATCAAAAAATTCTGAGATTATCACATAATGGGTATACAGTGGCGATCAAAAGTAATGCAACAAATTATTAAAATTACTTATTATAATATATTTCCACAAATAGCTAGTAAAATTTTATTAAATTAATAAATATAGTACATGTATCGGTTTTATGTGTCAAAATTTTTTGGCTATTGTTAATACCAATTTTGGAATAATCAAATGACTTGCACAAAATGCATGTTACATTTCTTTTGACTCGTTTTTTTATCAAAATATCAAGTTGCATAAAAATCACCAAAAAAGTAATTTTTTTGTGATCTATCATTTCTTGTCCAATGCTGCCACTGCTCGTGATTGCTCCACCGCTGTCCAAGTTCGAAATCGTTTCCGTGAAATTGAAAATATCGAAATCTCAGAGCCAACTATTCGTCGTACACTAAACAGAAATGGATTAGTATCAAGAATCAAAAGAAAAAAGTCATTAAATAATAACAATCGCTTAATACAATTTTTATTTTCATCTATCTTTTGAAATTAACTAACTTGAATTTTTAATTTTTTTAGCGTTCCGTCCATTATGACCGGTCTGGAGGATAATATTTAAAGACAAGTTTCTCTTTAAGGAAATATCAGCTATTGTCAAAAAAACAATATTACACATCGCTAAACTAAGACTATCATTCTATATATCCATCCCTTGCCTGTATTACATCATTGACCCTTTCTGGCATCGAATTGATTAACCTTTCACAAAAGTCAATTTCGATGCTCCTCCAAGCAATTTGTAGCTTTTCCCACAAATTGGTTTTATTTAAAAGTTGACCAGGAAGATTCCGCAAGCGTGTATCAACTTCATTCCATAAATTTTCGATTAGATTCAAGTCGGAGGACTGGGCGGGCCAATCAAGTAAAGTGATGTTGTTATTTCTGAACCATCGCTTGGCTTTTCTGTAGGTATGTTTTGGATCGTTGTCTTGCTGAAATATGATTTCATTATCTTCCAGCATTTTCTCATAAATTGTGTCTAAAAATTGGTATTTAATATGTCGATGTAGACCTCAGCATCCATTTTGCCATCGATTTTTCGGAGTTCACCAACTCTGTTGGCAGTTAGGCAACCCCAAACCATAATGGAACCACCACCAAATTTTACGGTTGGGGTAACATGGTGGTCTTTTAATTGTTCATCAGGCTTCTTCCAGCACCATTTGCATCCGTCTGACCCAAATAGTTGGAACTTGCTTTCGTCAGACCAAATTATTTTCCGTCAGTCGTCAGCCATCCAATTTTTTGCCCATTCTAATCAGAGTTTTTTGTGTGTTTTTTTTTTTAAGTAATGGCTTTTTCGCTTAATCCTTGCGAATAAACCATTTCTTCTAAACATACGTCATATGCTTTCCACTGAAATTTCGACTCCCAGTTCAGCTTGGAGCTCGTGTTGAACTTGGACGGCGGTAGTGCATTTTCCAGATGATATTAATCGGATGGCATTCCGTTCGTAACGACCTGGTTTTGGTTTATCTACAAGGTTTCCAGTTTCTTCTTTGTTTTTACAGATGCGTTGGACTGAAGCTAAGCCCACATGCTCCGATAATGCGATTTCCCGGACCGAATATCCTTCTTGTCGGAGAGTGTATATTTGGAAGCGTTTTTCTAGTGAAATGCGAGGCATTTTGAAATTAAAATATGGTTAGAATTATTGTTTAGAATAATGAAAAGTGTTCTAGATATTTTAGTGGAAAGAGTGCTTTTATACTTATCTTTATAGGCCCGAACTTTTTTGTCAAAATCGGTCATATTACACGGAACGTTAAAAAATTTAAAAAAATCATTAGCTTGTGAAGTAAAAGATAAAATATGCATTAAATGATTGTGGTTATTTCAATGAATGAAATCCACTTTCTTTTGGTCTTTGATAATTCTTCAATGGCGAGATAATCGAATCTCGCCATTTTTTTTCCGCGTTCCGTTTCTTTAGCGAGTCACTGTATGTATTAGCGTTAGAGAAATTCTGTTCGTGTTACTGTATCGGTATTAAAAATGGGATTGAAGTCGACTGTATTTAATTTTTTTCATTTGAAAGGCCATAAACTAAAAATAGTAAATCTCTTATTTTTCACTTTATTAACGTCAAGCATGTTGTTTGATAAAAGATAGTGAGACATTTTCAAATTTAATTATGTCATTACTATCGCTACAAAGAGAATAATCTAGTAAAAAGAATACGTAATCTGATTCATGTGTTGTGCTTTCCTAGGCCCCTAAATCAATTATTAGGAAAAAAATAATATAGTGAAAACGGTGCTCGAAAATAAATATAATAAACAATATGAAGGACAGAGGGAAAGTTAAAAAAAAAATTAGAACTTCGAGTAATCAATATTCTATGCATAAAAAATACGAGCGAAATGGATGATACAGAAAAGAAAACCAAACGAACGAGTGAAAAGTGAACTTACTATGTAGGTGACAGAAACAGAACAAATATAGAACATAAATGAGGAAAAAATTTTAAAATTTAATTCGATAAAAGACAGAAAATATGCTATAAGCACGATATTTGTAGCGAACTACATGTTCAACGTGGTACGCTTGAAGAATCTTCTTGTCCGACCTGCGGCATTTCAATTGTCGAGGGATCAGATGCGAACTCGATTTCTATGGTTGGAATATCAGAGTCAAAACTACGCTCTGAATCAAGCAAAACGTTTTCTTCATTTAATATAGGAAGATCGGATCCTTCAACAAAATTGGACCAAATGTCGGAAGGTTCATAATGTTGTTGTTCCGTCTGGTGTAATTCATCGAGGCGAGTAGCGGTCTCATCAACTGAATAAGAATAACGAAGAAGGTTATGATTATTATCAATTTCTTTGTTTGTATTCGAGTTCATTTTTATATTTAGTATGTATTTATTTTTCAGTTTTTATTTGGGGTTTATATGCAAGTTCAAATCTGCGATCTACCAAATATGTGTCTTGACCTATTAAAATAAATTGCTATGCTAGCTTACAAAGAATGTTTGGTTATAGATTTGCTTTAATAAAACTATAAAATATGAACAAAGAGGAACTTGTAAATAAAATAGCGTATAAAAATATGGAAATTTTTAAATGAATTTTTTTCATTGAGTTCTCTATGGATATTTCTAATATAAGATTATCATCGTCAACAGAAAACCGTCTATATAAAAGATGAGACCCGCAGATACGTCGGGTGCGAACTACCAAGAATAAGTGCCTCGACCTATCGCTATTAAAAATGAATTGCCAAAACCGTTTAGTATGGAACGAAATTAGCCTTTTTTAAATACTTTTTATAGAGAAATACATCAATTATATAAATAATCAAATGGTTAAGTTCTCGATTATGTAATTAAAGTTCCTTTTTGGCATAATTTCGAATCATTTGGGGATTTAATTTATTTTGTTCCTTGAGATTTTCACTATTAAGAATATAGCTTTCCACACGATCTGATTTCTTTTTTTGTTTATATGTAATCTTTGGCCACGAGATATCAAATTGAAATGCTTATTATGTTATTATGTTTATTATGTTATTATCGTTATGCATATAATCACGGAACTAAATTGAATATATGAGAACTTTGCAGATCATACTTGATTAAGAAACCTGGGTACGTAGGTGCCCAACATATTGCCTGAATCCCGACATACTCTTTTTAACGATTAATTTGGTGTAATAAACAATTCACAGGTAATATTATGTCATAACATTTTCGTGATACGAAAGTACTTCATTTATGCACAATTACATTGACTAAATTTTCACAATAAATGGTATAAATCTAAGATTCTTTTACAATCACATGTATATTAATTTAAAGTTGCGGCATAACCTTTATTTATTTTAAATTTAATTTCTTCGTTATTCCATATTTAAGTCAATGTAGATTTATGAACAAGTTTGCTTAATGCCAGGAGACATTAATTAGTTTTATAGTTCGGTTGGTAGGTTCAGTTTAAACTTGGATGTACATGTAACCGATCCCGATCACATTTTTAAACAAAAAATCATCCATTCGATCGGTTAGGTATGGGTTCCGACTATATAGGGATGTGTCAGTTTATTTACCTGATTGAAATTACCAAGTATTAATATAATTATTCTCTTTAATCTTCTAATCAAACTTAATTAGCATATATTTGAAAGTTACTTATTACAAAAAAATATAATCATTTTTATAGAAAATTAGAAATTTCATTTAAACCACCAGTTTGAATCATAGTTTGAGATAGTTTTAATAAAATTACTAAATTATTTTTATAGATTATGATATTGTAAATTAAATTACTTATAAAGAAATTAATAATTTTATTTAAACCATTTCAAACCAAATAAGCTGCAAAACATCTCGTTCCGACATCTAATTACCGTATTTTGCGGAATATAAGCAACATCCCCGTATTGTTTTTACCCTATTTTTTGAACTTTAAAAAATAGTAACAAACTTTTGATCAGCTGCTTCGTTGAAATAACAGAATTTTATATCATTGTACATGTCTCACATTCGACGAAGCAGCTGATCAAAAATTTGCCACTATTTAAATGGAATTTATTAATAGAAAAAAATCACGTTAATTTATCCACATTATGATTTAATAATGAATCTGTTTAAATTCAATTCTAACGCTTGGTTCTAAGTAAATTTACAGATCGAAATTACAAAAAAGTTGTGACACAGCAAAATGACAGCAATTAATAAATATTGTCCATCAAAGGATGAAAGAACGGTGAATCTAACACCAAAAAATCATCATTGAAGTCTGAATCGTCGTCGTCAACTTCTCCTAAATTATGGCTAAAAGCAACATCCAAAAAGAATCGATCGTAAGATGACAAAGAAGACAATGATAAAAGTTTAGTAGTTTCTAGCCGATATAATGATTTCTCTTCCTGAAACGAAAAAAAAGACATTTAGTAAATTCTTCGTCCTATCAAAGCAGTCTTTCATCTTTATTTTGAATTTTTACCCAGACTAAATTTAACTGTATTTCTTCTTCCTCCGTATTTATTGTATCGAAAAACACTCCGTTCCAATCTTCGAAATATGGAGTATATTGATGATGAAACTTTGACCTATCTTTTTCATGATGTCGTCCATGTTTCGTTACATCTGTCGTTATTATTGTTGGTATTGTGATTTTCTTTTGGATCTGAACATCTGAAAAATTAAAGTTTTCCAGTTCCTTATCTAGTGAAGATGATGATAATATCGTCGACGGAACACGACTGCATCCATCTTCGAGCCGTAATGTGTCCTTCGCCTTCACCAGTGGGCCAGTAAAGAAACTAACCAAATAAGAGATAAATCTAAAATAACAGATGAAAAAATTATAAATCTTTATAAAATAATAAAAAAAGAATTTTGTTCATTACTTTAAACAAAGAGAGAAGACCATTAGATTTACTCTTGTGCATGTATAATTTCGTGTTCGATATATACGTAGCCATAAAACAGGCTAAGAACCAATTAAAATTCTGCACACCGAAATACAAATGAAGCATAACCAGTTTCGAAATACGTAGTGTTGTTATACATGTACCTTATTTTGTCAGAGAAGATATACTTAATTTTTTTATAGTTGCTGACTAACTTTGACTAAGTCCATTATATGAAACAAATTCTTTCTAGTATGACTTACGATTTTATTCAAGATTAACATGGATAGTTTACGTTCATATTGAAAGAGTTTCAGGTTTTCTTGTCAGCAAATGACTAATCATCGCGTGTTGATGCTGAAAGTCACTATGGTGCATAAAATCTAAAGTCATCAAACGTTTGTATTTTACAAAATGTATAAACATCTTTACTAAGAAGTAAAT